GCTGGACGACCAGGCTCGGGACAGAGATAGTGGATCAAACGGACAGCTGAAATACAAACTCAAAGGCTCTGGAGGAGTTTTTACTTTAAAGGTTGAAGAAGAAGGACCACTGATCATGCTGGTCGTACAAAAGGCTCTGGACAGAGAGACTCTGGACCTGTATCAATTGCAGCTGGTGGCTACTGACTGTGGAGAACAGCCTCTGAGTGTATCAGTCCCTATATTTGTCACAGTGACAGATGTTAATGACAACTGTCCGAGCTTTAGTCCTAACAGCCCACTCAGTGCCACAATCTCGGGGGACTCCAAGAAGGACACAGTTGTTACTCAGGTAATTGCTACAGACCCAGATTTAGGCCCAAATGCTGCCATTGTTTATTCCCTCAGTCCTAAGGTCTCTGAAAGGGCTAAGAAACTCTTAACCCTCAGCAGCCACAGTGGTCACGTCAGGCTAACACAAGACCTTGAAATAGACAGCTCTGAGGACCTGGTGTTAAAAGTGTTAGCCAGCGGCCTTCACTGCCCACCAGCAGAGACTCAGGTAACAGTATCCCTCCTCCCCAAGGCTACCCAAGGTCTAACAATCAAGATCGGGTTCATAGCTAAGCATCACAACCAGACTGTTGTGATACCAGAGAGCCAACCCCCCACTCCCTTAGCTGTTTTAGAGCTTGAGGGTGACAGCAGCTTTAAGGACTCATCTCTTGCCATTGAGGGTGACGTGCCTTTCTTTTTGAGCCCACAGAGCGGCAAATATCTGCTTTCCACATCAAAGCCCCTAGACTATGAGATGAAAAGTGAATATCACATTTCTGTGGTAGTGCAAGGGAGTTCATCTGAAAGGTCTGTGATCGCTCCGCCTCAGCGAGAGATCAGGGTGATGGTGGAGGATGTTAATGATAATGCCCCACATTTCTCCCAGACTGGCTACCAGCTGGAAGTGGAGGAAAACAACGAGCCTGCATTAACACTGCTGCAGGTATCCGCTACCGATGCAGACAGTGGACTCAACGGCAGGGTGACATACAGGTTAGATAAACGCACATCTGCCATCTTTAAAGTTGACTCAGTGACAGGTCAACTATCTGCATTGGTTCCTCTGGATAGAGAACAGAAAAGTGTGCACCAACTCACTGTGTTTGCTCGAGATAGTGGGGTTCCTCCCCTGGAGTCCCAGGCCTCTGTAATCATTCGTGTTCTGGACCGGAATGACAATGCACCTGTTTTCTCTACTCCTCACTTCATCTTTTTCATCCCTGAGAATGCACCGCCGTTTGCTCAGGTGGGGATGATAGAAGTGGAAGATCCAGATGAAGGAGAGAATGGGAAAACAGAATTGCAAATTGTGCCGAGTAACACATCTTTTGCTGTGGACAGCGTACAAAGGATGCTGCACACCACCACCAACTTGGACCGGGAGGTGACGGATTGTCATGAACTTTACCTGGCGGTCAGCGACAACGGCCGTCCAGTGGCATTAACCTCCAGTGCCAGGGTGACTATCTTTATAGAGGACATTAATGACAACAACCCAAAAGTGATCCTTCCCAGCAGCAATTATTCATGTTTGGTGGTCTCTCCAGGTACTCCAATGGGTACAAATGTAACAAAGGTCTACGCCATCGATGAAGACTCTGGTGTAAACTCAGAAATCACATATTCTGTTGTTGCACCAAAGTCAGTTCAGCAGAACAGCCCCTTCCAGGTAGACTCAAAATCAGGGAACATTAGCTTAAGACAAGAGCTTTTACAGGAAGATATGGGAATGCATAATCTGTTCATTGTAGTAAGAGACAACGGGAAACCAACTCCACTTTACACCACTGTCTGGATTAACCTGTTGGTTAATAAGAGCACAGATCAGTGCCACCTAGATAGGGCACCTACATGGACTGGGAGATCAGATTGGGTTGAAAGTTCTTCTATGTCTCCAATCTGTGAGGTGGAGACTGCCAGATCAGTTCAAGCAATATACTTTTATCTTGTGCTCTGCATGGCGGTAGTAACCGTAGTTTTGTTTTTTACAACAGCTTGTTTGTTTCTAAAACACAGAAAATGCCCTCCAAAGAAAAAGACGGGACATACGGAAGAGAATGAGATTCCACTCAGGATCAAAGACAAATATTATTCTGATGAATAGCAGCTTGAAGCAAGCAGCAAGTAATCTCACTCACAGTTTCAAGGATGAAAACAGCCAGAGAATTAAACATTTTGAGAGTATTTGTCTTGGGCTTTATGCAGTTCACAAAAAAAAATCCCTACATGCTTCTGCAATTACTCTATATTCAGAAGTAGAAGAATAGTCCAGCAAGTTTCTGAGAAAGACTCCACACACTGTGACCAGAGAGAGAACTGATAAGAGGAGCATTTTTCCTTGAAAACTCTTAACATTATAGACTAAACTAGTCATGGATGATGTACCAGGCAAAGCCACCCAGTGATAACACGTATCACAGCCGGTGAGATATAATGTAGATTTACAAAGTCAAACATTTCCCAAGAAATCATTGACAAGCTGGTTGAGTCTGTCTCAGCTTCCTGACTTTGAGTGATGGGGATTCTAACGCATTTAGACACTTTAGGATCCGTGGAAGGGTTTAATGTTCCTTCAGAGGTGAAGTGATGAAAGTGTATAAAGGAGTAACCCTTGACTAGCTCCAGGAGTGAAGAGGCACACAAACATCTCAAACTCTCCACCTTGCAGTTGTTACCTGATAACGCCGGTTCTTACCCACGCGGTTGGATCGCGCCCAAAAGGCAGAAAACTCACCGTACTGCGCCCAGCTCCCAACCAGGTGTGCTGTTTTAATACCTGGCTCTCAGAGGGAAGTCGCACTCTACTCAAAGACGTATTTGCAAACAGCAGCTGGCGTCACATTCGGATAGATTTGGAGGAACAAATTAGATCTAAAGCAGGTTAAGTGCTGCATTAAATATGAATGAGCCAGGGTGCGACATGTGTGCAAATCTGGGAGCAAACAGTTGCAACAAAGAGGGAGGGGAAACTGTTTTAACTTCTTTAAAATCTGTACAGTGCAGTGCGTTGTTGAGTGCATAGGCCTGTGTGAGGTGGGAAGGAGGAAAGCAAGGAGACGGAGCCTGTAAAACACAATGTACAACAACCTGGTTGGTGGAGAACAAGGCTTGTATAACATGAGCTGCATCTCTGAGGATGTCTGGGCTAGCTGCTTCAAAAATAAACAATCTAATAAGGCCCACACTGTGGAGATAACTACATTAACTGGGATCAAATAAGGAGCTCCAAAACCAAATTAAGAATTGAATTAAAATAGCCTTTTTACAAGAGAAATTAAGGAACACAAGATAAAGTTTTGTTGTTGTTTTATAAAGATATATGCTTACAAAGTGATTTAACATAATTCTATTTTATATGATTTAAGAAAAAATACCTACCTAAAAATATATCTATGTATTTTTGTTGTATGAAGCTAAAAATGCAGCTTTAAAAAAAATGCAGTTGGCAGGTGAAAGTCTGCCATCTAGTGGATGGAGAAGACGCCAATTCTTGTTCTCCTTTGTGAAATTTGACCTATTAGTCCATGGACTACATCGGGAGAGAATGAGTCAGAAAACCAGTCTCTAACGTCGAGGCTGTCATATTGCCTGAAAACAGTGATGTGTCCCCGCTGCCCTGCTCCATGCTCAATCTTCTTTCACTCACCTTTCAGTTTATCTTTCATCAAGACGAACATTTAATTGCAGGCTGCGAGCAGCAGTTCACTCAAATGCCCTGCGGATTAGTTGTAAACTGCATTTCAGTTGTAAACTGATTTTGTGATCGTATCATACAACTCTTGTGTGAATAAAATTCCAGTTATTTTTTGGTTTGTTTGTTGTTGTTTTTCTATTTTATGTGAGATCAGTGAGGCGACCCCTCATTGCGTCTCAATTGTCCCGACATGTAGCTTTCCGGCTATCCATATTTCCTGTTTGTGAACATTCCAGAACATCACAAAACATTTAGGAAGGCAACAACAAAACACAAATCCAGCTCACCAGCAGCAATATCATACGCAGGTTTTATGTTTCAGACTGTATCTCACAGATGGTGTTATGATAGGATCTGACAGTTTCACTCAGTCTGCAGAGCTTCACCTGACTCTTCCACAGGAAAGTTTTATTTCATGTTTCATTTACCAAGAATACATAATCAACAAAACCATGACCATGACCATCTTATTTATATGAATAAATTCTGTGTTATTTTCTGTCATTTTAAGTAAGCCTGTATTGTCTGAATGCTTCATTTTTTGTTTTTGTTTTGTTTTTTGTTTTTTTGCTCAATAAAACACGCTTTACAAATTATTTAGAAATGACTGGGCAGGGTGCTATTCACTATTTACATGATCTGCAGCACCCAGATCTTGTAATGCTTGTTTGTGATTCATTTATCATTAGAATGGAACTGACCTGGAGAATAAGTTCATTTCGGTAAATAGATATGCCATAAAAAAAAAGCTAATTTATATAAATAACTCGAACCTTACACAATATACATAGCAATTTCAAGGGTTTATTTTGTGAATGTTGATTGTTATGCCTTACAATTAAGGAAAACCCAAAATTCAGTTTCTGAAAAAGAAAGTAACTTAATAAGACTTTTTTTTTCATGCCTAAATGTTATGTCATGGCCTTGACCATTTTCAAGTAGGACAAGTAGGAAAGGTAAGAAGAAGGTTGTTCCTTTAACGATGTACTCAAAGCTGATGGATGTACACATTAATGGAAAGTTGAGTGGAAAGAAAAAATATGGCACAAAAGGTCCAAGAATAATCGGCTTAACGCCATAAAACTTTGTCTTTGAAAGTCACAGTATTGTAAATTATCTTGGCCAGCATTTTGTAATAATCCCCTGAATTTTGATGACTAATTGTGTGGGGGGAATAAAATATTTCCCTTCGGAACAAAACCCCCGCCCACCTCGGGATTTGCATAAGATGCGCGTTGCTCCCTTCATGCAAATCGGCATCAACAATGACCTTACTTGATATCTGCAAGTATAAGAGCCCTGACCTCTTCATTATCCCTCGCCCTGAAGTTCATTGAAAAGCGACATTGTTTCTTTAAGATTGCACTTGCAGTCATCGTTGGCTCTGTCCATTGTCGTGGGGGTGGTGAGGAGGGTGGGGGGGACAGGACGCGAGTTGAGAGATTGATATACGGGGGCCGAGGGCGAGAGAGGCGCACATCATCAGCGGACCAGCTGCGGCGTAGTCAACAAGTCCTGAGCGCTTCCTTCCAGACATGGGTAAGAAACTTCCAACCCAGCGGACTCTTCCTTTTCTTAGCAGATTCAGTTTTGTTTTAAATCAAATCTCGGTTTGATTGCGTGTGATCGCACGTAGATGTGAGAGGGGACTTGTGAGGGAGCGTCAGAAGTTATTAAGGTCTTTTTTTTTTTTTTCCTGTCAGTTTGGAGGGCAGCTATCACAGCCTGATGCGCCGCTGATATTATGAGATTTATTTCATGCTTGAGATGGCAGGGGCTACTTTAAAGGGAGCCTTGTCGCATCTACTTTCGATTGCAATCCTTCTCAATTTCTAGTATGGAGGACTGGCCACAGCTTTACATTATCGAACGAAAATACACAGAGTTTTTCGGTCCAGCGTTTTCATCCAGATCCGCAGAACTGAGGCGAGCCGAATTACTGCCCGCTCCTCCTCTCTTGATTGGCTAATTGAAATCAAGGTGCGACTGAAATCACCCGGATTGAGTTGTGGAGTGAAGTTTGAACTTCTGCGTGATTTACATGCGGACTTTAGAGATGATATCCCTTAAACATCTTGACGTGATAATTTTTCTTTTTTTCTTTTACTCTGTTTTATTATGTCTGAATGACAAAGGTCACCGTTTGTGGGCCTAGATCTCTCACCCCGGCAGTCAGCAAAGCCGTGTAAATATATTCAATTAAAGAGCCATCTCTTTGCCCCTTCTTCCATCTTTGTTTACTGTAATGGTACCAACCACAGTCTGCCTGCTCCCATTGTGCCCATCTGTGTGCAAAGCCACACATGTACACAACTCGCATTGTTTGTTCAGATTTCCATCCTCCTCCAGCCCTGGCAACACTCCAGTTTCTATCATTTCCTCCCAGCCCCCAACCTCTCTGTGTTTTCTCAGAAGGAAGTCTGAGTGTGTGGATGTGTGTGTTTAAGGCAAAGAGGTGCCTCTGGCCTTTGTTTGCTTGACATTGGTGGCCCTTGTGCCCCCACAATGCTGTGGGACAAAGACTGTTGTCTCCGCAGTCACAAAAGCAGCCTCTCTCCATCCCTGCCTTGCTGTGTCTCCAGTCCCTTGTCCTCCTCCTTTTCTCACACTCTTCATTGCAGGGTTGTGAATGGAGTCGGGGGGTGGGGGGGTCCAAGCAGATGGATTCCCCTTGTATCTTTGGCCCTTGGCTGCCATCTGAGCAGCACATAAGGGGACGCCACACTCGCTGTTACTGAACTCATGCTGCAACTTAATCGAAGTCAAAGCGTTGTGTGCAAATGTTCACTAAAAAGTAACTATTGGTGAATATTGCTTGTCACGTGACACGAGCTCCCACTATGCCAAATCCTTAAACTGAGAAATATCACAATACCATAAGGATTTACTCAAAAATGTAAAATTCATAACAAAATATCATTTTAAACCAAAGACATTAAATCATATTCATCTGTAAAAGATTTGATTTTAGCAATATTTTAAGTTGTCTTTAAGTTTGTGCAATGGTTGTGAGGTAGTTCTTTTGATTTAAAATGTAAAAAATAATCTTTATAAATATCTTGCATTAAAATGTGGACACCAGCAGCTAATAGACAAGTTCTCTCACTTTAGTTTTCTTCAGACTGCATAAATGTTGCCAAAAATATTAATTCACAAGTTGTGGAAGTCGGTTGCTTCTGCCTTCCACAACTTTTTCCACTGTATATTTCACTTGATGAGTCAACAGCTGCTTGTTGCTTACCAACTCTAGTTTGGTAAACAACTGAAGGAAGGTACCCAATAAGGTAGCAACTAGAGCTGTGATTGTGTAACATATGTCTCTAATCATTTTTACTCCCAGACCAATTTTGTTCACTTTTTTCTTTTTTTTTTTTTTCTTTTAAAAAGCTGTAAATGTATGCTGATTAAATGGGCTTGTCTTCTTAACTAATAGGTTGCTATGACTGCTGCATGCGCTGTTTGGGCGGGGTGCCATACTGCTCCCTTGTCGCCACTCTGCTCTGCTTCTCCGGTATTGCCCTGTTCTGCGGTTGCGGTCACCAGGCACTCACAGAAACGGAGAGACTCATTGAAACGTATTTTGCCCGTAACCTTCAGGACTACATCACTCTAGCCTATATGTAAGCCTCTTCTCGAAAGATTTAGTCTCTAGTTTTTTGCTGTATAGTTTTTACATATAGGCCTTCTCATTGCCTGTCCTTTTTTTTTTTTTCTTTCAGTATTCAGTATTTCCAGTATGTCATCTATGGTTTGGCCTCCTTTTTCTTCCTCTACTGCATTGCTCTCCTGGCTGAGGGCTTCTACACCACAAGCGCTGCCAAGCAAACCTTTGGAGAGTTCAGGAGCACCATGTGTGGTCGCTGCCTCAGCTCCTCGGTGAGCCGGCCCCGAGTTGGACTAGTAAAAGGGAGCGGGGAGATTGGTTAGGGATACACAAATGACCTAGTGTGGGTGTTAAAAATCTTTAGGTTCATGGGAATATTTTTAGCAGACTCAAAATAACCATTGCACATTATTTTGTGAACTACTTCTTAATGCATGATGTCCCTCTACAGTTCATAGTGATGACGTACCTTCTTGCTGTGCTGTGGCTGCTGGTGTTTGCCTTCTCCGCCTTGCCGGTCTACTTCTTCTACAACATGGATGCAACTTGCAGCACCATTGATGTTCTGACCGAGACCCCAGCGAGTATAAACCAGCTCTGCGTTGATGCAAGGCAATACGGTACCGTCTCAATGTTTTGGGAACTTATACTGAAACTGAATTTATAGATTTTTTTTTATTATTCATGATCCTGCCCGTCACCAACCTCCAAATGAAAATACCAGGGAACCACGCCCTGTGCAAGCTAGCATTTGATTAGGCTCTCATTAGGCCATTGAAAGCATGATACTAGATTAGTAATGTTCAGTGGATGATATAGTCAATTTTTGAAGTATACCAAAATTAGTTTTTAAATAACATGACAGGGTTAAAATTAAAAACAAATGGGGGGGGGATATGCTTTGCCATTGCTTTTAATTTCAGAAGTCAAAATTTCTAAACAAGAAAAGGTGGAGAACTTGCATAAACCTGAAATTCAAGATGTAAAATTTGCTGGTTTCTCATCATCCCCAATCTCAAAATTCAGTCGTCCTACGTCTGCCATAACTTGACTATAGCTAAGATGCACTGTCAATGAATGAAGACATTGTTGGACTGTTAAGAAGTACGAAATCCTGAGAAATGCTATTGCTCAATTTCTTCACTAGCCATTGTCTTGTATTGCTAATAGTAGCTAGCCTATTCACAGAGCTTGTTTGCAAGTATCCATGGTTTTTGGCTTGGAACTAGAGCCGAGTTAAATTCTGTTTGATCTCATTCCCAGATGCAAATTAGTAATTCAAACATATGTATATAGATCAGCATAACTGAGCACAAACACTTGTTTCTGAATCCATGTTGATGGCTTCAGGTTTTGTTATCTCTGGAAATTTTGTTCCCTCCTGTTTTGTTTTGACACGTTTCTGATGCTTGACCAACTCTTCTCAGTGTTTGTGTTAAATAACATTAGCCTACATATATACAGTATGTGTGTATATATATATTTTTTTTTTGTGTGGTTGCCTTGTAAATAACCAAAGTCATAAATATTTTTGATGATGACATGGCAAGAGTCTACAGTATTATGTATGCCGCATTTGTTTGTGCAGCATTTCCAAGGAATCCTTTTTAGCAACTGAGATGCAAAAATCATGTGCAAACATTTATTCATGCTCTAGGGATTCTAAATGCCTCTCTAAAGTGCTCACAGGCCAACAAGTTCATTGTTTTAGAGCCCTAGCTAAAAACACATTTACAACACAATGCTCCACTGAGTGGTTTGTGGCTTTGTTATGATAAAAATCAGCACTGATTTTCTTTGCCATATCTTTTTTTTTTTTTTTTTTTAATCATCAGTCCCTCCTGGTTTGTCTCAAGAGGGTCCTGTCTCATCAACTGTGCACTAGTCTGGAGCTAAAAGAAATTACTAAAATAATATCCAGCTGTTTGTCAAAATGTTGTCTTCCAAAAGAGTTATGAGGTTTTAAAGTGTATTAGACGATGAGAACAGTACAATAACGCATTAAAAGTTAAGCTTGTATTCATGAAATTAGATTAGAGCTAAGTTGTTTTTTCCCCTCAGGGCTCTTGCCATGGAATGCAGTACCGGGAAAAGCTTGTGGTATGACCCTGTCCAATATTTGCAAAACCAGAGAGGTAAGAACTAAGGCTCTGGTGCCTGACGCATTTTATCACTGGCCTGACAGGAAGTGGAAATAATCATTCTGATCTTCTCCTATCAGTATCAGATGACCTATAACCTGTATGTTGCGGCCTTCACTGGTGCGGGCATCACTCTCTTGGCTCTGGTGAGTGCGGAAGCTGAGGGCCGGTTCGGGGTACAACGACCATTTTGTGGCTCATGTGACACAGTGCCGGTCAAAGTGTAGGCAGCGAGGCATTTCAGGCCTCCATGACTGATGACTCTTGTACTATTGCTCTCTGTTCCTCTTTGTCAGCTGACACAGGCAGCATAATAATGCTGTAATGTCCTGGTGGCGTTCCAGCCAGCCATGCAGCCATTATACTTTCATGCTCCATTACAGAGGCTGTTATATCAAGCTAAAGCTATTAGCACGGTCATGTTTTGTTTTTATGTTTGTAGATATCCAGGTTTTTGTGGGTCTTTTCATCTCCTCCTTTCTCCTTGTTTTTCTGTAGCTGACCTATACTGTGTCGAGCACCTATAACTTTGCGGTTCTGCGCTATCTTGGGAGGAAGGGCATAGGTCCAAGGTGTTAGGCACCCAGCTTCCTGTCCACTCTGTCAGCACTCTGACTTCTACAAGAGGACTAAAAGGGGACTTCAACATCTCTGTCCTTTCACTTCACCTGCACAGAACTGCCTACGATCTTGGACTTTATAAAACACTTTTTCCCCTACTTTTTATAAGACTTTTTTTTTTTTAATTGCTGCTATGACTTGCAGTAAATATGATTTTTCTTGTCACATCATTTCAATGTTCATTTATGCAACTAATTACAGTCAAATCATAACACAGTACTAATGAACTAAAACATAGGCTATAGGACAACAAGCACATGGCAGCATACAGCTGCTGAGTAGAGCAAAGGATTAAAGGTTACTATGGCCACCACGCCTCACATCTGGTTGCTATGGGGGCAGACAAACACGCATTTGCAGTCTCATGCTGACCTCAGGACATTTCTCACGGGCCAGAGAAAAAGCAGCAACAATGGAGTTGTGCCAGTTTGAAAATCTAGCCAATAAGAAATCTCTTCTAGGGGCCACCTGCACTGCGAGACTCTGCCAGAGGGGTTGTATTACGTGTCAAAGGAGACTGCTCTCTGGACAAAGAGAGGGCTAGACCTCTGCAAAGCCTCAATGCAGCTCCTCTGCCGCTGCATGCGGAACACATCTGTACTGCGCTGCAGGCTCACCTCACACAATGGAAAACGGTGGATTCAGAGTGAAGGAATTATAGATTCAGTTATTTGTTAGATCGGTAAATGTTTCTCACTGTGAGACGACAAAAGCTGTAGGCGCTGAATTACAAAGTAACCTCTCAATATCGGATTAAAAAAAGGTGTTTCCTGCTCTTTTTTTTTTATATTACTGAGGTACTTTAATGGCAAAGAAACTGCTTTGCTTAATTCGTTAGGGATTATGTTGTAGTTATTGTATAACACAATTTAACTAATTCTAGCTGAATTTACTAATACATGTACAGTGTGGTCAGATGTCTACATACACTCATCGGCAGCATGCCAAAACTTAGGTTTTCAATTATTTGAACTGTTTTTCTTCCAGGGTGGAATGACTATGCAGAATACATATGTGTCTTTCTTTATTGAAAGACCTGGAACTCTACCCTTTAGAAAACTTAAGCATGATGTTTTTGAGAGGAAGCCTGAAATTGCCTCCAACACTACAGTAAAGAGCAGTCGATACTCAACAAAAAAATATGCAAAACCTTGTCGATGGTACTTGAGTTTAAATTTCTGATTGGACTGAATTTACCTTTTTATAAAGTGCCTTGAGGAAGATTGTGAATTGGCACTATACAAATAAAACTGAATTGGGGGGGAAAAAATTGACTTCTTGTTTAGCAAATTTGTCTAAATATTAGTGGTGTGCATGTATATATCTAAGCTTGTATATATCAATTTAAACGTAAGTGAATTAGAAACAAATCTACATTAAATTCTACCCTTGTACCCAGTTCCGTTTTTTTTTTTTTTTTAAAGTCTTCTACTGCATCATCAATCCACCCTAACAAAGATTCATATGAATCATTAACAGCCTGGATTGAAGGCATTCATGAGTGATGATTGTATGCAATTTCTGACCGACACTAAAAAAAAAAAAAAAAAAAAAAAAAAATTTTTTTTTTTTTTTTTTTTTTTTGAAAAACCCTCTTTTGGGGTTTTTTTTTTTTGAGAAAAAAAGC